CCATTTTAGCTAGTGTATATACAGATATATATATGAATTAATAATATAAAAAGTACAAAATTCGTGTAAATATACTTTTTAAATAAGTAAATTTTCAAGTTGCCAATTAATTTTTACTATTTCACTGTTAAAATTTACTAATATGCACTAAGTAAATCACTGTCGGCGTTGCGCACACACTGATCACTCCTCTCCCCAACTTCGGACTAATTGGAAATGAACTCGCCTTTCCTTTTCCTAATATGTCGGAATAGTTGCCAGATTGGTAAATGAAACAAATGAATTTTTGCTTACACTTAGTCTGCATCAAAAATGTCACATAGTTTCAAAAGTAACAAAGTATTCCACTTTTATTACAATTAAAAAATTATATTATAAGTAAAAGAAAGTATGTATATTGTAAAGCGTAATAAGCAAAGTAGTGGATAAAAAGACAAATAAGTCTATTTAGTATATGAGAAGTTACCCAGCGCAGAGCCCGCTAGTATATTGTGATATTGTGACTTTGATTACATACTTATCCTAACTTCTGGATTTCGATTGCAGCGAGGTACAAAAAAGTACAATTAAAATCACAAGAAATTGTCTTTTACTCTCTCAGTTGATATTCAAAAAACTTTAGCTCAATCAAGGGGTTAGGGGTAGTAAGAATAATCGAAACAATTTTTAATTTCGATTGTGTTTTTACCCGAAAATCTGGAAACAATTTTTCTGACGCCGCCACTTTGTTGATTAAAATAAATTATAGTTTAAAAAACTAAAAAAAAAAACACGCTTTAGGAACTTTTAAACCCCCTCCTATAAAGCTCTTCCCTACCACCTTGTTTGTGAAAATTAATGCTTATGGCGCATTTATTTCGTCAGTTATCGCACTTTTCGTATATTTTAACATAACTGTTATATGGGGAGTGGGCGTGGTTATTATCTGATTTTGCCAATTTTCACAGCATATAAAAAAGGGCTAAAAGAACTTCCTCTCAGGGAATTTGGTTGAGTTAGCTTTAGCGGTTTGGAAGATATATACATTAAGCCATTTAGGGACTTGTTTACACCCACCTTTAAAGTAATGGGAAAGAAACTGTTATCAAATTATTGTCATCGGTCCTTGACACGTCTGCAAAGTTTCAAGTTGATCAGACTTCTAGAAACCGGTGAAAATTGAGCTCTAAGATTCCATCACATACATACAACCCAAGCTAATAAAAGCGTATTAAAAAAGCTTCGATCAGGCACTAGATTATCTCAAAAAATAAAACAATTTTTTTTTCGGATTGAGTTTAGATGAATATCTAAGAATTAGTGATTGCATGGGGCATCGGTTGGCACTGGATCAACACAGACAGCCATTACTTTTTTATTTCTGTCAGGTCTTTCTTTAATTATGCTGTATGTTTTTACTAATAGTACAAAAAAAGTATTTACTGACAAAAAAAAGTATTTAAAGTTGTAATTTTTTCATGTCTCTGACTACACCTAACCCTTCAAATAGCTCATATAGTAAAACCTTTGAGGACAACCTTTTGATACAAATCAACACTCTATTTATTGCTCTACCCGATGAGTAGCCGGATTTCAACTGGACCTGAAGTCCAGCAATTAATAAAATTTTCACTTTGTCGAAGGATAGTAACAGCTATTACGACCTAAACTATGGAAGCAATTTCAAAAATAACACTTTAGAATCGAGCTTTAAACTTAGATGTGTTTTCAAAAAAAAAACAATTCACCTCAAATAAATAATAAACTTCAATTAGACCTCATAGCTTTAGTCCGTCATATTAAAGTGAAAGTTGAAAATATTAAACTTAACATAGTAATAAACATTATTACAAGGCCAGCTGTATACGGTTTACATACCTTTACAACAGCTATCAAATCTTCTAAATTTGGGTCCTTCCGCTTGGCTAAACTCAATTCCTCATTCAGTTTCTGAGCTTCATCTAAAAATGCCGGGAATGTGTTAGAGCATGCTAGCTTTAGCATATCAAAATCAGCCTTTTCCAATTGTTTTTCTATAATATAAATAAGAAAAAAATTATCCTGCAAAAGCTATATATAAAACACAAATGTACAAAAAATTTATAAAAATAATTTTAAAATTTTTTGAAAATGATATACCAATAACTATTACAATTAGCAGTATTTTGAAAATTTCAATCGCCTCTAGACCCTATAAAATATACATCTATGATAAATGATCAGCATGATGAGCTCAGTTGGTTAAGCCATGTGGAATGGTGCCGAGTTGAGTCTTTGGCCGGGTAAAACTCCGGATGCGTTCCGGTTACTTGGACCTGACTGTCGTGGGAACGTCCATGCCCGTCTCTCAGTCCGTCTGCCTGTATATACACGAACTAGTCTCTCAGACCACTATAGCATATAGCTACTATACAAACTGTGCGATCAAAATCCAGTTCTTGACCGAACACATTTTGTATTTGACGAGATATTTTCACGAAATTTGACATGGGTTATTATTCAAAGTAACGGTACAATCTCCGATGAACTTGATATTAGATCGAACTACCGTAGCATATAGCTGCCATACAAACTGACCGATCAAAATCAAGATAAGGATATACCCTTTTATATAATACTATGAGAAATGCACCCGTGAATAGTAGTACAGCTTTGGTATAGCAGCGGAAATCATTTTTTCTTATCGATATATCTATTTATATCTTACCGATTTCTTTAAAGAGCAAGAGAGAAGGCATCAACTGCTTCTTATAATTCATCTTCCATACTTTAAAACTATCTTCACCATTAACAAGACAACAAACGCAACCCTCCAACTCACTACGACTCCTTTTGAAATCTTCGATATTACGGAAGAGAGTCAGAAATATGTTCGAATGCTTACTACTAGATAAAATGTACTTGATCTGTGGAAAGAAAAGTTAATAGTTGCCGATTTTAGAGGTTTTTTTTTTTGCATTTTTCTTAGTTACCAAAAAACCATGTGCACATTTTCCAAGAGTCTCTTGATTCTCTTTTGGAATGGGGTAGTGTGTTTTTAAAGCATTGTAGAACGAGAAGAACTCGTTTTGGTTCAAAGTTATTGTGCAGCTGTAAAATTAAATATTTTATATCATATTAACAATAGTTTACATTTACATACTCTTCTTTGGCTGCAGATAAAACTTTTTCTAAATATTCAGTCACAAATTTTGTATAGCTCTTTAATTCCAAATTAGGTAACATTAAGTTTTGCCACACTGTAATATTAAGAAAATGGAGAATAGAATAAAATTATAAGTGTAATGTGTTAAATAATTTAAAGTACCTTTAATGCCTTCTGTTATTTGTTTAAAACCACCTTGACCAATTGCCCAAAGTATGCTTAAGCAAATGTTGCTTCTATTTTGATAAGAATTCCGCAACAAAGCAATTTTTGCCATGTTATTTGAAGCAACATGTGGCCAATGCTGACCAATTAATTGTAGTATAAACTGAAACCATATAACTTATTGAAGTGAAAATCCAAATATGTAAAATTACAAATAGTTTTACCTTATAACCCAAAATTGGCATATTTTTTGAGAGATCCATAGTCATATTGATTAGCAGAGTATGATAAAAATATGACAAATTCTCTTCACCTACTGATTCCAAAAAATCGACAATAGTATTGTAAAGTTCAGTACTTGCCAGGTTACTAGGATAATTAATCGATTTTCCTGAGAAAATAGAATCGCAATCGAAGGGTAGTAGTTCGTTAAAAAAGCTTGCAACCTATATGATAAAAATCATGAATAATTTGGCAACTTATTTTACAAATTTAAACTATTACGCCTTTGAGCCAAAGCAATTCGGAACCAGGATAAATAATTTTTAATTGTTCAAGTTTAGTGGCGAAATCATTGGCTTCAATATTTCTCATAGCTGATTCTAAACTTTTAGGTTTGGACACTGTTGATTTCAACTTTGCCTGTTGTTGAGATGATTGTTCCTTTTTAGTAGTTTTATCTTTCGAATTATTAGCATTTTTCTTAATGGGAGACGATTTTGATTTTGTTGAAGAGCTGACAGACTTTGCTGGCGAATGATTCTCTTTTCCTCTTTTCCCAGATAATAAAGTCCTATATTCATGCGAAGGCACTAAAAATATATAAATATAATTTATGACGATATATATTTTATTATCTGTAGATAAGAAGGCTTACAAATTTCTTCTAGTTTTGGAAGTAAGGCCGCCTGTCGTTTTTTCTCTGTATGAGCTTCTACCTTCTTATCTAGATTTCTAGCTTTTTTGGATTTTGTAACAACTTCCCATTGATTTGAGGACATGTTTATTTAAAATTTTCAAATAACCAATTTCACTGAAATCAAGCTACGTTGCAAATATCCAAATAAACGCACTTTGCCGGCGGAGCATAAAAATAAGAAGAACAAAATTATAATGCATTGACAGATGACGTTTACACCTAATTGTCAAATTCAGACGAAATTATTCGGAGAAGTTATAAGGCCGGATACTCAATTCACCTAATCAACAGGAACAATTTTCATTATATAGCGATATTTCTAACATTCTTATTGATATAGAGGCCTTTCCTGTTAAAAATTTAACCGAATTAACAGTTCAAAGAAAGGAACCTCCCCCATTTGGCCAAATTTTAATATTTTTTATACCCCGAACAAGGTATTTTAAGTTGGCCATGAAGTTTGTTAGATTCGAAAGGAGATGTCAAAGACCTTCAAATATATACATATATAAATCGCGTGCCGAGCTGAATCGTTTTAGCCATTTCCGTCTAACTGTAAATACACTGACTATTCCCAGTTTTTGAGATATCGATCTGAAATTTGGCACGTGTTTTTTCACCATAAGAAGCAGCACATTTGTCAGAACTGCCGATATCGGACCGATGACTGATTAAAATCCAAATATTTTTACTTGTAAAGGGTATTAAGCTTCAGTGTGGCGGATGTTTTTTTAAATATTTTTAGTTGGCGTACATATGTTGTACACCTTTTCAAATTCAAAAACAAGCACGTTAGAGTTCTTGTAAGAATTTCTTTGTTATTCATATTTGTTTATTATGTATACATCTCAGTCATATTTATCATTACAGTAAGTATTTCCATATAAGGTATTTCAAAATATATTCACATATATTAGAAATATTAATTGTTTTTATATTAATAATAATCAAGTCTCAAATAAAAATCACTTAAGTATTAGAGTCGAGTTAATTATCAGTCAGTTTATATAAATGCTTTAACATTCAGCATTAGTCTGCAACAGTTTTTGACAGTGGTGTACATATAGTGTCTTCTATTTTCAACTATAGCCATGATCTAATAATTTCAACTATATTTCAAATAAGTTAGTGCCAAATTTTATAAATGTTTCTATTTTGTAAGAATTGGCACCTTTCCTTTGGTTTCAAATTTCCGGGATATCATCCCATGAAAATCCTTCACGCTTTGCCAAGATTGACAACAATATGTAGCCATAGTAACCGCCCGGTATAATCATCAGAGAACCAAGAATAAGCAACGGAGAGGCACGATCAACATATGTTTGGTCTATAACTTCTGTGAAAATCAGTCCTGCTGTCGTCAAACAAACCTTAAAGAATCGCAGTAATAATTATTTGATAAATGACTTTTCGTGAAAAACTTACCGTTCCAACAATTAGAAAAAACATCACAAAAAAGATCGTTTTCCATGGTAATTTTTGTTCAGAACCATAAAAAAATTCTCCATCTTGAAACTCATAGCTAAGGCTATCCACGTCGTCCCTGCCACCCTCACTTCCTGAATCGTGAATGCTCCCATAGGATCCACGACGTCGACGAATTGTAGGCATTTCCAATTTTTTTTAATTCCGAACTTCAAATTAATAAAAAAAAAAAAGACAAATCAATTTTTATAACAACAATCCCTTTTTCAAATGACTTTACATAAATAAAAACACATAATGGATATTTTAATTTTTTATCATAAACAAATGAAAACAAAAAGTCAATTTTGACATATTGAGTACAAATGGAGTTTTAGTCACCATTGTGAATAGTTGATATAAGGTCGTTCACAAACAAAAAAGAAAGTATTCTAAACATTTCAAAGTTGTAAAATAGTTTATAAAAAATATAAAATATAAATATAAAAAAGTTAGCTGCTAACCAAATTATATAAAATTTCGTGAAGTTTTTTGTTGATTTGACATTTCGTCACAAAATATTTTCCCAGTATTCTAAATTTGTTTTTATATTATTTATTTCTTTATCGACTAGGTGGTAAGGTTGGTAAATGTTGATTGAAAATACTTCAACAGAGCGGTAAGGGTGGAAAGAAAAATATGTCAAATTCTTATGTGAAAACGACGGATGCTATTAATTAATATACTAATTTGTGACTATAGCTTACTAATTTGTAAATATAACACAAAATGTCGTTACAAAAACAGTTACGTGAACTTTCCAAACCGTATTACTGGATAAATATTGTCCTTTCAATTTCTTACGTAGTCGCTAAGAAACTCTTTCCATTATGTACAAGGCTTTTCCATCATCGAGGCGAGGAAATGTGTGAATTGGATAGCCGCGAAACAGAAATCTTATTTTTTCTGCTAATTGTTGTTATGATACGATCGCGTAAAACTGGAAGTGTAACCATGGTCAATTATCTATCCGCATCGTTCCTCTACACAAAAGTGGCCAATGTTATACTTTGGGCATATAGTGATTTTAGATATGGTATAGCATTCTTATTAGTTTGCGTCCTAGTCAGCACTGTTTTATCAGAGCCATCGTACCGTGGCCCTGAGCATATCACCTACTTTCGAAACATGCAAACATTTGAAGAAGAGTTGGCACGTGATAACAGAATCAACTGGATTATTTGTTTCTACACAGTGTGGAATCCGAGCTGTGTGAATTTTGCACCAATTTTTGCTGAACTTTCAGGAGAGTATAATTTAGATAATTTGAAATTTGGTAAAGTTGACATCGGTCGATTCCCAGATGTTGCACAAAAATATCGCATTTCTGATAGCAGCTTTTCACGACAATTACCAACTGTTATACTCTTTAAAAACGGAAAAGAAGAGGAGCGACGACCTTGCGGTGATTCAAGAGGAAAATTACAAAAGTTCTTCTTTTCAGCAGATAACGTTAGAGCCGCATTTGGTCTTAATCAACTTTATAAGGAATGTGTTGAAAATCCATTAAAGAAAACTAAGCAAATAACAACCACTGTGACAGCAGCAGTTAAGAAGACACAGTAATTGTTATATTATATAACTTAGCTAAATTTTAATATCGAATAAACGTATTAACTGACTTTTTTGTTAGGAAAAACCAAGCTTAATAAACATCGATTTCATTATTTTGTATATTTATTTAATTTGATTATCGCTTTTCACTAATGTTAAATATATGTATGTAAATATACAGTAATTTTCAGCAATAAAGACATACCAAAGAATTAAACTTAATATCATGTATCTAATTGCAAATAGCATAGAACATTGCATTGTACAATAATAATACTTGAGTAATAAAATGTTTAACAGTTAATTGCTGAGTGATTTACATAACCTTAAAGATGTGACAACAAACTGTGTGAGGCTCGATGTAAATCGGTAGCTGAAGGGCGGAGTTCGGATAAACATTTTTCCAAAGAATTGAGAAAGGTAGAAGTTTCAGTTTAGTTTGCTTCATTTGGTATGAACAACCAATAATTGATTTTAGAGGTCTCATCAGCAATTGAACGCACACTTTAACTGTTCTATGTTTTTCTTCCTCTTGATAGTGAAGGAAAGGTTATTTTCTTTATTTTTATTGCTACCAAGGTCAATCAAAATGTGAGAATTGCTCCGGAAGCAGGACTGCATAAACCAACGGAATGTTTATAATGTACCTGGTGTAGACGTGTAGTTATCGTATTATATTATGGTATTTCGCTGGGCTGCCAATAAAAATATATGTATTTTAATATAAAATAATCATTACTGAATTCTTTTAAATTAAAAATACTGCAGAAATTCAGTCGTATTTATTAAGTCTTCTAATAAATTAAAAAATCTTGAATTGTACGCCGACAAAATTTACCATAATTTTGTTACTTACGTTATAATATATCAAAATTCAATATATTTCTCATTCACCATTAAAGTCCTTTTTCTTTTTTAAGAAAATATTAGTTTAAGATATTACTAGAAATCTATTTTAATTAACTTTTAGGAAAATATTTGGCATATTTTGAGTGAAACGATATGGTAGTTTAACTTGAAATATAATTTTACTTGAACAATAACTGTCAAACATACCGAGTATTTTGAACGAGTAAACTCGATTCTTCTACTCGTTAAAACGACTTCCTCTAGTCCTTTTCTTTTACACCAAGATGGCTGATCAGGTAAGACGCGAAGTGTTGTGTTAAAATTTTTACTTTATTTCAAAGGAAATTAGGAAAAATAAAAACTTTCATATACTAAAACATTAAGTGAGTGTTAAACAATGAACTGCATATCAAAATTGTGCTAGTGGCTTAAGATATGGTGTAAATATTCGAACACCATGTGGTTTTTGCTTGACAGTTAATGGATGGCAATTTGTTATTTGGCACGTTTTATTAAAACTATTGGATATGTGTTAAATTTTGTGTTATAATCCAAGTTCTATTCTTGTTAATACTTCAAAACCACGCATTGTGTATCAACAGCAAACAGAACGATCCTTTAGCAAGCAATTTTCTATACCAGTTGTCAGAAGGAAATCGCCTAATGCTAAGAAGAAGTTACGAATGTTCCGAAATATAGGTCTAGGATTTAGAACTCCTGCTGAGGTAAAATACCAGAAGATTAATGTGTTCTTTTTTATTTGCATGTCACCCTCCCACCTAATGTGTATTTTGTTCCTGCTGGATGTTAAACAATAATTGTGAACAAAAAAAAAATTACTAATAATAAAGAACGAAAGAGCGTTCCAAAAGCAATTTGGCATCAACCTAAACAGAAAACTCAAGCCTGGAGTGACGAAGAAGAAGGTTCTCCGTCGCTACCGTGATATCGGCTTGGGTTTTAAAACACCCCGTGAAGTAAGTTAATCCATATTGTATTGCATGTTTGCCCACACTTATTGAAGAAATATCTTGTATTGTGAAAACTAAAAATTAGTTTTTTATTTTTATTTATATAGGCCATTGATGGTACATACATTGACAAGAAATGCCCATTCACCGGCAATGTTCGCATTCGTGGACGTATTCTGACAGGCGCCGTCCGCAAATGCAAAATGCAACGCACTATTGTTATTCGCCGTGATTATTTGCACTTTGTGCGCAAATACAGCCGTTTTGAAAAGAGACACAGAAATATGAGTGTACATTGCTCACCATGCTTCAGGTAAAAATATATAAAAGATAATCTTTAAATGCAGCTTAAAGCGAATGATGATAAAATCATGACGGTCTTCATAAACATAATTGCTGAAAAAACTTGACTATTTAAAATATACTGACATGCTAAAGACGCCAAAACAGAATTGATGCAATTATACGTGAATACATTTTTAAAACAATATATTTCTTTTTCGTAGGGATGTGGAAGCCGGCGATATTGCCACAATTGGCGAATGTCGTCCACTCTCCAAGACAGTGCGTTTCAACGTTCTCAAAGTCACCAAGGGCCAGGGCTCCAAAAAGAGTTTTAAGAAGTTTTAAGTTCTAATATTTTTAACTTGATGCTTTTCAAATAAATAAGTAAATCTAAAAAATGCCTTTTTGCTTTTGAATAATAGTATACATTTGTAAGTTTTTTATAACATCCAATTAATTTAGAAATATTTGAAATTGTGCTTTTTAATCCAAATTTTTTAATAATATACTTCTTTTAGTAACGATCGAAGCTTAACAAGTGATCGATAGACGTCTGTCGCTAAAATTTTTAATATAGGTGAGTAACAACTTTTATTTTGAAATTTATTTTGCTAGTGATGATAAAATCATGACGGTCTTCATAAACATAATTGCTGAAGACACTTGATAATTAAACAATTCACTGATTTATTCATTAATTTTTTTGATATCTATGAATATTTTTGATTGCTAATGAATATGTTTTTAATTTCATTACAGATATCTGCAGATTTTCGTTTGGATTAGATGTAACTTCAAGCTTATCGCTGGATGTATCATTTTACTACACATACATATATAAATAATATTTATAGAAAAAACGATTGCAAATAAAAAATTTAAATCCCTTTAAATTAATTGTATTTTTTTAAAAAAAGAAAAAAAAAATGTTTAATCTTGCCAGCTGGTATTAAAGATGTGAGCACAAATTACCAATGGAAGTTATAGTTCATTTAAAATAGAAAGGGCATTGATCTGTGATTGTATTGTTGATTTAGCAGTTGTTTCGCATTCCTCATTATAAAGTCGTCTTAATTGAGGGACAACGCAGTAGACTATATATGTATAATGGCGAGCAGAACCGTTGGGATGTTCACACTTTGAAGTGTTAGTTCTTTGTTTAATGTACAACAAAATTCTAATACTAACTAAAATGAAAGGATAGTCGTACCAAATCTAAAATAAACTCACTCAGTACAGTTTTGCTCGTTTCGGTAAATATGAAATAAATATGGTTTGAATTTGGTAAAACAAAACTGTTAATGAACAGTTACTTGTGCGGAATTCATATTTTTCAGTTTTAGTTGATTGTCAGTTGCATAAACATACGATATTAGGCAATCAGTGTTTTCATACAAAATGCGAAAAGTTTTATCCTAGGTTGGAGCAAAAGTTGTTTCTTTGAGAAAAAGTGGCCTTTCGATCCAGCAGTGAGCAGAAAACGATGATATGTTGGTTCTCCGAACGTCGGAGGACGCCCACGATGGTTAACAAACGCTGATGCTAGGCAAATAGTCAGAAGATTTACTAAAGCGGATAATGGAAAACCGAAGAAGGCTGCAATCGCGATAAATAAAACTATCAGCGAATTTACCGCTTAGAGAGTTCTTCAAATGATTATTTTTGTGGCCGCCGTTAAACAGAAAAAACATGCTCTATCCAATAAAAATTTTAAGATACGTTTAAAGTTTTGTAAGGAACATAAAAAATGGTTCGTGGAGGACTGGAAAAAGGTTATCTGGTCGGATAAAACGAAAATCAATCGTTTCCAATCAGATGGCAAACAGTACTACTCGCTTCGCCCACACGAAAACATTCAACGACATCATGTGCAAGAGACTGTAAATTACGGTGACGGCAGTCTCATGGTATGGGGGTGCTTCACTTGGTGGAACATTGGTCCGTTAGTCAAATCGCTGGAAATATGAAAAATATTTAAATATAAAAATAATAAAATTATACTATTTAAATATTTTACAGTAAAATTTATCGGACTTTATGGAAAAGTGTGCTTATCCAGATGAAGAGATCGTTTTTCAACAAGATAACGATCCGAAACACACTGTTAAAATTGTTACTCACTAGTTTCAATGTAAACGATTTCAAATCATCTATAGGTCGCGTTCTTAACCCGATTGAAAATTTGTGAGCTATTGTAAAGAGGATAAATGTGCAAATATCAAACAGCGCCGAGCAATATGGAGGAGATATGGAGAAGAGTACAAATCGAATAAAGAAGCATACCGAAGGAAATAATAGAAATTTTAGTTGAAAGTATGCCGAGGCGTGTCAAAAATGTAATTAAACACAAAAGACAGTTTTGCTCGCCACTGTATGTATATACGTAGAGTAAAGAAGAAAGCTTATTAGAAACTGTTAAAACAAAAACTTGAATGATTTTTGCAAAAAAAAAATATAAAATTCCTTACCTTGAATTGTTAATTGCATTTGCTTTAATAAATAGCTTTAGGTTCAATTCATTAATTTATTTTTAAATTTAAACATTTAGAGCTGATAATGTTGAACAATTGTACAATACTATTTTGGAGGTTTCTACTTGCAATGGTAAACTAATATTACATATGTTTTGTTTTAAATGTATTGGTTGCTTTTGATTATCATCTAATATTGTTTTACACCATGGTGTACTTCATTCGGCGAGAACTGATTTGAATAGGAAATTGGCTTCGTTTGCTATTGTTTATGCAGCTGTGGACAGTATATGTATATGTGTATTTAGGCGCTACTAATTTACTTATAATTGAATATATTTAACAAATAAATATCAAAAACTTGAGTAATTAACAAGAAGCAGTTCATTAATTTTGGCGATTTTTATATTTTATTTCTCATTTGTATTGCAATTTGAATTTTTGCTATTTTGGTTACTGAAACGTCTGTGTAATTTTGAATATTAATGGCTTGCAGTTACATTACTTCTTCTATATTATTTTTATGTGGTATATGGGGGTCTAAAGAAATTTTTGTGATAGTCATACATATTACTTTTTAAATAGTAGTGCCGATTTTTAAATGCTAATCACCCGATTGATCCATCAAGGAATCATTTTATAAGACATAGAATAAGAATAAAGTTACATACATTTACAACAAGCTTTAAGTGAATTAATATGTTCAAAGCATGATTACAAATAACGTACAAAAACTCCTTAACATTCCGATATGTGAAAAAAGTACTTGAAGAAATTTTTCGCGATTTTCAACTAAACGGTAAGTTGGATCATAAAATTACCTTGGATCAAATTTCTAGATCATAAAATTATCTATAAACAAATAAAAAAGCGCTATGTTCGGGTGTAACCGAACATTTTATACCCTTGCAACTTACAAGGATCAAAGTACGGTTAATACCTTCAGGTGTTGGCAAAATTTGATTTTAAAAATCTTGCGAAAGAATTCAGTATTAATTATTCCACGAAATCCTGAATGGATTACAATCAAGTTTGGTATTTTATTATTAAGTTATATTATAAGTCATAGACTCATTTAGTTTTGTTGTTATATTTTACTTCTCGTCCGCTAAAATCATCCTCAACCAGAGAGGTTAAATATAATATATTGAGATGATGTGGAAAACGCTAACCAGAGGAAAGGATTTCATTATGTGTATTAGGGATGCGAGGTTAGTATTGACCCGATTTTATCTACTTTTAGCATTTCTACATATTGCTAACGAAAAAGAGTTTCATTCACCTCACATACCATTACCAATATGTAAGGAGTAAAGTCAACCGAAAGTTTGAAAATTTTAATATTAGTTATATGGAGCCTAGGGCTGTTTTCACCCGATTTTATTCATTTTAGGCACACACAAAAACACGCCCGCACATTTTATTAAGAAGACTCACATATTGAGCGATATGTCCGGTATAAAGTCAGCTGGAAGTTCGAAAATCTTTCTATTAGGTATATGGGTGTTGAGGTCGAATATTTTTTTTCCACATATAGGAGCGATGAGAAGTTTAAGTATGTTATTTTTAATCAAGTTTGGACAAGTTTACTAACATTCAGCTTGTAAATTTAGGCATCCTTAAATGTCTATTTTGAGCAAATTGCATCGTTATAGTTGAGACTTATGAAAAGTTTTTTGAGCGCGTGATCTGGTATAGAAATCAATATATCTTCATTACATGTACTATACAGTGTCTGCCAAAACTAAAGCGCGTAGCCTAACTCGTGTGTGTAAAATTAAAACGGAAGTTATACAATAATATATACAAATATATACACACATATTTCTAACATTTTTTATAGCAGTAAGACATCCAATTGAAGTGAACGTCAAATTTGATATAAATAACTCTAATTGCAAAAAGTATCGCTATTAATGCTCAATTCGCACTTAAAATTTTTATAACTCTTTGAATTTTATATCTCGTTGGGTAGTAATACATATATTAAGTTACGAGCTTTAGTTTTGACGCACATTAAGCATTTTGTCTCACTACCCCCTTGTATTATATATTTTTAAGCCGAAAGTGTTAATACATATTTATTATACAGATTTTTATGCGATACAGAAGTATAATAAAATGTGTATGTACGTATGTATAGGAGTTACTAATTTAATTTTTTTGTTGAATTTACAACATTGTACTTAATTATACATATACTTATGTATATATATGTGTGTATATACACTAGGGAGTCCGTTATTTCCCAAGTTGATTTTTGTTTTGAAAGCGTGCCCTGTAATTTCAGTTTTTGCGCTTACAAAAAACTTTCCAATGTAAGCAAGCTCTTTATTTTCAATTTAAAACAAGCACAGAAATATGACTTAGATTTCTTAACGCATGTATGTAAATATATAACATATATTTTGCATTAAACAATTAATACAACTTTGAAAAAGTGATATTCTAATACAAAATTTTCCGGTCTCCAAAAAAATATTGTTTTTTTTCCCATCAGAACGTTCCTTTAAAAGTTATACGCCGTTACAGTTACAGGGTTTCCCAATAAGAGTGATATGATCGATACAATTAAGTCCACAATATAACATCAATCAAATGGCCTCCCCGACTTCTTTTGCAGGGACGAACTCGATGAATTTTCAAGTACTTTTTCCACTAATTTAAGTCGTATGTCATGAATAGCACGTGCAATATTGTTTTCTTAAGCTTGAAAAGAGTCTGGTTTATTGCTAAAGACAAATGACTTCAAATAATCCCACAAGGAGTAGTCTAATGGTGTTAAATCACAACTTCTTAGAGGGCATTCAATGTCACAATTTCTTGAAATTATCGAATCTACAAACTTTTCTCGCAATAATACGGTTGTTGCACGTGCGGTGTGGCACGTAGCCTCATTTTGTTGGAACCTATTGTTGTCAAGATCAACTTCTTCCAATTGCAGCCATAAAAAGTTGGCTATCATCGATCTATCCCGCTCTCCATTGACAGTAACGGTGTCACCAACTTAATTACGAAAGAAGTACGGACTGATGATTCCACCAGACCAAAAACCACACCAAACTGTTAACTTAGGTGAAAGTAATGGTTGTTCCTGAATAATTTGTGGATTTTCTTCACTCCAGAATTAACAGTTTTGTTTATTTACTGCACCACTTAGATGAAAGTGAGTCTCATATGAGAAGATGATTTTCTTAAAAAACTTGTAATTGGAGAACGATTATTTTGATAATAAAATTGAATAATTTGTAAACGTTGTTCTTGCGTATATCTTTCCATTATGAAATTGTAAACATTACTGAAAAATTAGAAGAAAAAAATTACAGATCATGGCGCATAAAAAATGGCCGAAACGACACTAAGAAATCATATCCTCCCTATTGGAAAACAATGAGCAGTCATACAAGTTATTTATACATTCATGTTGTCATACGACATGGTGTACTATATGAATACAGTACATTTGATGCATTAACTTTAACTGCACTTTATGACTTTTCATTTTATGTTTTTATGAAAAAACCCTTTTTTGTAGTGCGAAAATTTTATATTAGAATAACATTATTTTAGAGTTGTAGGTTTATTTACTTTGCAGATAAGAAGTTTATTGCAAAGATAAAAAACCCCATATCAAATATATGGGAAAAGTAAAAAAAATTTAGACATAATTTCTTTAAATTGAAAATAAAGAGCTTGTTTAAGTTGGATCCTTTTGTTTTGGGCAAGAACTGAAGTTTAAGGGGGAGTTTGAAAAACAAAAACATCAACTTGGAAATAACGAACACCCTAACGTATACAGATTTTTGGGTTAAATATGTTTTAAATTTAATTGAGAAATCACAATATAATATTAATATTGTTTTTTTTCATTGTTTTGTAATTTAGTAATTTGTAACATTTAACATTTAAATGCATATGTACATTATGTAATACCTTTAATAATCTACTGATGTAGATATTTAAACAAACATTATTTATTGTAAGTATTGTAGATTATTGCAAAACGTAACTTTCTATTAAACATAGCTTTTATACTCATTTATTTTAACATTATTACTTTGCGAATTTTATGCACTTAATATTAGGATAAATTGATTTTCATCATTATTTTAATCGTTTCTTTCATCACAGACTTTCTTTAAAATTCATTTCTTATTATCATTATTGACAACTCATAGCCATTCCTTAAGTAGTAGAAAATACACTTGTACATATGTATGTATGTACCGAGTACTTGTGAATTTCTTTGACTATTTATTTTTATTTTTTGCTGATACACAAGACTCTATTTAATGCATTAAGGTGTACTTGAAGTATTTTGTAAAAGTAAGTCTAAATCTATGCTATAAGCCTGCGTATAGGGATGTCTTAAGTGATTTAAAAAATATATATATTATTTTGAAAAACAAAAATAACACACAAGACTTTAATAATTCGTCAGGCATACAAATTTGGGTAAGAGGTTTATTGGAATATTAAATAACGGGAAGATATAATCATGCTAGACTGATGTACAAGTATGTATGTATATTGAGAATATTATACTATTAGGATTACGGTTGTGTGCGTATGTGTGTACTTATATTTATATACATGATTATAGTTTGATTACAAACGCTTTTAGAAAAGCATATCACATGAGACAGGAAAAGTGCAACTATTGAATAGTATATTCTCTAAATTATCTTTACATACATTTTTTAACATAAAATTTGCAGAATATACTTAATACTAAGCTAATATACTTTAAGTTATTGAAATATATTTTTGTATGCATTTCATATTTCTTTGAAATAATTGCTTTCAATGTAGTTTTTATAAGCAACTTTTTGGCCTTAACATTTTTCCATAGAACTTCTATAAAAAGATAATAAATAGTTTGTCAAATTAAACTAAAATAGATTAAGTATAATGCTCTTGTGCTGTACATATTTTCATATGTCTATATGTTAGCCGTCTTCGATTCGTCATTTCTCATTTACGTTCTACCGGCTACAAGTATTGAGACGGATTTTATCCGGCCAAGGGTTGTTATTTCGGCGCTCTAACCCTGTTTGGATCGGTAAGTACTAAGTTAGTCGCCACTTCTCTGTTCGCAAGGTTTGAGTTTTGCTCTCTTGTCAGCAAATTTATATGTCAATGCAACAACAAAGTTATCCAAATCAATTCATTATAAGAGAGTACCTGGACAACTCATTAAAGCGATACAACATCTTTGTCTTTGAACTTTATTTCCTCATGTCAGTCTATTTGATTTATAATAGTAGTGTGTTCGATTTTTCTCGCTCCAAGTTTTGGCCAATCGAAGATGGCTTGCAATAAATCTCTATTTGAACTGCTATTTTTCATATTGGAGTAAACACAAATAACAAGGAAGTACTTGCAAAAACTTTTTCATCAAAAAAATAATACGAAGATTATTAGTAAGTTTTATAACAAAAAACTTAGAAATTAATTTTAAAATTTCGATGTAGGGCTAGTTACATGCACATATCATATTCACTTTTTAATTTTCAAATGATCAGTATAAGAATTCAAAAAAAAAAATTTTTACAAAAAAAAATGTATGTAAAATCGCAGAAGATCAATCTATGTAATCGGAACAGGAGCATTATCAAAGCTTAAATAAAGTCGAGATTCAAGCCGGAGTAATTCCAAACTAGATGTCGAACTTAATAACAAATATTTACCAATAATCAACGAAAGTTTGCAATGAATAAATGCTCTATGATTACATACGTACATATGTATGTTTTATACAGAATTGAAAAAGTTTTTGCGTCAGTACGATTAGATCCATGTGGTAATGTTATGAATAATAAAAGTATAGAAAATAGTTGGAATATTGGAAATATAAGTCCCTATCATAGCCAGTATCTATATCTATGTACATATATAAGAAAAAGAAGCTTCCTTACAGCATTTTTTTTTTTATTTCCTTACCTCTGCCAAATATTTACTCGCGGCGAGAGCGCTTAGGACGTGAAGCAGCAATTGTAGTAGCAGTGCTACCATTATCATTTGAATTGGTATTGCTATCGCTTAAAACTGCATTATAATTTGTGTGAAGGGATTGCAAAGTATTGCCTGGTACATGAGCACTGGCGTACGTTGAAGTCGTCGTGTGATTACCGAGCTTATCAATGCCTCTTATCTTTTTGCTCGCCACAGATTGGGCGGTGACTTGCAGTGAAATTGCATGTGTGTTTAATTTTTCTGCCAACAAAAGGTCTTTGAGACCCTTCATTTTTTGACTATAAAGTGTAATTACCGGACGTTTCATCATAAACTCGAAGGGATCCTCATCAGTAAGTGAGTGTGTTTTTATCTCTGCGCATGATTCTTTTTCATTTTCTTCCAACTTATCATTGGTATTTGATATTTCCATTTGGACGACATTTGTGACAACAGTATCTTTATTCGGAACATTTTTTAAGCCATTTGTTGGATCATTATTACAGACATTCTGTCGCTGTTCCATGTGTTTCTTTTGTTCAGCAAAAGGCTCGCCTCCTCCCTGTAATAAAAAATCTGGATTCAAAATTTTCTCACCACAAGCGGCAGTTAGATCTGCTAATGTGGCGGTAATATCTGTCTTTTTTACATCCCCCGAAGTCTTCTGAAATTTATATTGAAAATTAACAGCAAAAATGTAAACAAAAAGTGTTACCAACGCTTACATCTTCCTTTTTGAAATTATTATTATTAATACTACAGCTATTGGGTTCATCTTTCTTTACATCCACAACTACATGTTTCTTTTCCACTTTAGGCACCTCATTAGGTGTTGTATCTTCTCTTAATGAGGAAGTTGTTGCTTCAGATGATTTTTTTGTATATGTAACTTCATCATCTTCAGGGACTTTAATTACCACTTGTGATCTTATATCATAATCGAATTTTGTTATATTGTTTACTAGTGGCTTAGCCCAGCCAATATGTAGTATTGGTGTTAAACTATCTTCCTCCCATTGGCAAATCCCATCATAGAATCGCAATAAATTTGCAAATACTTCAGAATCGCGAAGAATGCTTCTTGCTGAATGACCCGAACTCTCTGTCTTCATAACATGTGGTATCATCTCGTTTGCAATATCCAAAAGTTCTTTATAAATTTCCTCATCATCGCGACAACTGTATGTATATAGGCGTATTACATCTGCCGCATTTGCCCACGAAGCAAACGCTTCACGATATTTCAAAAGACGATTATAAAAATTTCCCTAAAATACAGGAGCACATATGTATTTATATAAATTAAATGGATAATACAAATCGAAATTATGTATACTTAAACTTTTTAATATTTATAATTCTCCATACCTGATAAGTATAAGGATATACGTGATGATTGCGGTAAAATTTGCGGGATGACTGTATTGCCTCCTTATAAAGTTGTTCACAAGATATGCGTTTAGGCGATGGAGAGATTTCTTCCAATTCACCAAGTGTTCCTGAATATAAAAGAGTTTTATAAATAAATAGTCCGCAAATTAATATACAAAAGTATAGTGTAAACATCATAGCTGTGGCGTAAAACACAAACAAATAATATATATTTACACATATACATATATACGCACGCATATATGTATATATGTATGATACTTTCTGTTTACTATTGCTAGATTAATATATGCTAAAATTAAATTACGTTGTATGGATAAAAAATGTATATATACGGTGTTTTGTATGTTTGTACAGACTAATATAACGCATATTTGTATACTTTCGTTTAAATTGATAATAACTTACCCAATGCCATAGGATACTTTGTTAAATGACCCATATCATACAATAACCAAAGTAATTTTTGTTGCATATCAGCCACTTCAACGCAATCGCTATTAGTTGTCATTGATATATTTATTGCTGATACAACAGCAGAAACTTCCATAGCTCTATCGCATACAACTGCCAAGCCGCTCAGATATAACCACGATCCAGATTCTATGCCAGCTGTTATGTCCTGACCGCGTTTATCTTCACTCCCTTTGCCATGCCACGTCACTTCGATGCATTCAGTATGTTTAGAACCAAATACAACCCAAGCATGATCTTCAGATATAGCCAAATGTACGTCACGATAGCCTAACAGTTGACAACCGGCAACAACAGCTAGCGCTACACCAAAACAGTCCAACTTGTTGCCCGATAAATAACTATATAAGTTTTGTAAATGAGCTCGATCCTTATAACTGCTTCTGATTAAAGAATGCCAAATTACATCAGACACTTTTTTGATGATTTCACGTGTAGCTTGACGATTTTGCGCTGATTTAGGTTTTTCAACAACAGAGAGTATACTTTGAAATTTCTTATATAAACCCGAGACAAGCTCGTATGTTACAACTGGAAAAGGCACACTGTTGCTTTTTATAATAATGCCACAGTTTTGTGCTAAGTAAGGAACTAATTAGTATACAAAATTATTATATTGGAAATTTAGCAAAAAAAAATACCTGACGATAAAGGACTGCCAACAACAGCCGCAAGAAGTGGAGGTGAAGATATAGTTGTATTCGAAGCGGCATTTGATAATGCATGTTCCGCAGCTAATGCAGCATCGCCTGTAGTTAATGAAAGCTCGATATAACCGGCAACAATTGAGAGCAGTGTTAAATCGGGTTCACTTCCATATGCCGAGGAACCTGCTTCAAGTGATCTCCGAAAAAAATTCACAACATCGGTTATAGATTTAAGGGGAAAATTACTAGGATCAACTACTGAATGGGGAAAATTTTGTCTCTCCGTTGGGTTATGCTGATTTTGTTGATTATTAGAATGACCAACAGATGGGCTCGCACTTGCACTACGAGTCACAGTGGACATTGTATTTGCGCTGTTATATTTTATTCAATTTAAAGATCTATATTAGTTATTATTGATACAATGAACCAATCTAGTGACACTTTTATTGATGAAAATGGGGGACGCCACAAGTTGACAAACAACTTTTCCCGTTGCTCTATTTAGAGTTTCACCACTTTTCGTTATATACTCTGTTTTATTCGTTACTGCTTTGTTGCTAACGTTAACATCTTCGTAACTCATAACTTTTTATTAAAAATCTATTGTATAAGCACTTTGAATAAAATTTTCACGATATGAAAATAGTGTTTATGGCAGGTTTGATTATATCTTTTGCCATTTAATAATCATAACTTATAAATGAAAACATGTTATGACGTTTCACCATTGTAAAGGAACTTTAGTTTATTATGTATGTACATTTGTATTTCACTATGTGGACTAGCGAATGTCTTTTCTTAGCATTCCTCCATATGGAAAACCAACATTACGACGTAATGAAATAAAGATGGTCCCTAACACATTTAAATACCTTGATAACATTTTATTTCTCTGATTCCGACATTCAAATAAAAATCGCAATTCGTATCATATATATATATATATATATAATCGCCACCTGCAACTCGCGTTTTATATTTTTTGCTTTCAACTCTATTTCGATTTTCCTAGCCACTTGCGAATTGTTTACAAAACATTAAATGACGTCTTAAAATTTCTGTACCAAAACAAAAATAATGTTAGTGTTGTGACTTTGATATCAACAGTTCCTCTATCGATTCAATTATTTTCTACGACTCACTTATGTTTTTAATAATACAATTAATATACTTAAATTTTATTAATATTATAAAAACACAAATAATTCTTTTATAACAAAATATATAAATCAAATAGCATGTGCTAGAATAGAAGTTGTAGAAATATTTTATATTGAATAAATGCTTAAATACAGCTTCGACTATAAATCGCCAAAGCATATTACTCATCACTAATAACAGTATATAAATATATATACATAAATACATACCGAAAACACTTTGGAAGATAGTAACTAAAATTATTTAATTATGAATTGCACTAGTTTCGTGTTTATTTTTAAGCTACAAAAGCTTATTATCAACTGCACACAGTTTACTAATCTTACATATCGGTGTACACAAATTTTACAAATTCAAACTTTCATTAAATAGGTCTGGCATTATCAAGTATTCTTGTTAATTAATCGTTACATTCCACTCGTTATATATTTGACAGATGACTCGGCATTGTTTTTCTGCAAAGAACGCATTGACAAGGCATTGAATTATTTGTGGAAATTGTAACAATTTGTGATTGATCTGGCTTACCGCATATTGGTTAAAGTGGTTTTATTTTTACAAAGTATTATATAAAAAATGTCAGCAGATAAAGACAAAGAGAAAGATAAAAATGCCAAAGCCGATTTAGGACTTTTGGAAGAGGATGACGAATTTGAGGAATTCCCAATCGAAGGTTAGTGCTCTAAGCTCCTTCAAATTGCTAGCTAAATATCCGTTCCTACGACAGTCGGGTCTACGTAACCGGAACGGACTCAGATTTTTATCCGGGAAAGCACGGTTAACTCGGCAGAATTCTGCCGCTACAACAACTAGCTAAATACATTTAATATTTGCAGATTTCAATATTGCGGATGATGATCAAGACGAAGTGAACGTGTGGGAAGATAATTGGGATGATGATAATGTCGAAGATGATTTCATTCAGCAACTGAAAGCACATTTACAAAAACAAGCTATGGAAATATAAAACCATTTATCTATAAGTTGTCTACAAATTAGATTTAGTGAAATCAGCTAATAAATTTTGCACATTGTAAAACCGGGTAAACAAAACTGAAACAAATCGTATATTTTTTAATTAGATGCCTCAAAGGTGGTAAAAAGTATAATATACAACCATAATCGAATGGAAGGACAAGCATCCGATATCTTATAGGAAATGTGAATTAGTTTAGCAAAGTTGTGCAAAATATGCACTTTGAGCAAAAGAACCAAATCAAATAATAATTAAATCTTGTGGTCAACTTTGAATATGGCACTAGTCTCTGCTACATAATGACAGAACTATATCCATTTTTGGGAAGCTAATCTCAAGTTAATCCTAATCTCGCTGTAAAAGTTAACCTCCCCACTAATCCTGACTATTCCCTAGTGTTTTTGTAATTGCCACAATAATGACACCACTTTGAGCAATTTTTATTGCTTGCAATCGTCATTTCCAGGAAAATATTCGATAGTAAATTGACCGATGTTGACAATTTATGGCTTGAAATATTTTAAGCTTGGCAATTTAAGCAGTATATAATATACGTTCTCTGATTTAAGTAGATCTTTTCAACTTTTGTTATTGTATATAAAAGAGCGATTTTCAAAAATTTATGAATTTCATCATTGTAAAAAGAATTGACAGATATTTACCTATTTCATACATGTAATGATAGCTTTTCATTATCCCATTGTTGGGGGTTTCTACACTTTTTTTTTTACAATGGGGACTCAATGTTTATTTTAAATCATATGGTTCTCTTTGTGTTGTGTTCCATTGATTAAATTTTTCTGCATACTCAGAGAACGTATATCGTGATATCATGATATACGTTCTCTGGCATACAAAGTTTAAAAAAATATCAAACATCTTCCCGCTAGTTCGAATAGATCATTAAATTATTTTATTGAAATAAAAATTTATTAAAAAGTCATAATGCTTTCAAAAGAATATCTCGACAGCTGGAATGAATTGTGTGCTGAATGTAAAATGGTTGAATCAGATTTGGCAAATCCTTCGGAAAAGTGGCTTACTAGAGTCCTGATAAGCTATTTAAGGATGTTTGGATATCGAGTCGAAATACCATGCTCAGAAGAAGGATCACGCGAGAAGAGGATATTCTTAATAAAATTAGTACGACACATTGACCATATTTATAAAATTAGCGATAAATCATTTACGTTCACATATTATGACTTGCTCAAGCCATGTAAGGCAATAATTGAGACCTATGATAATGTAAATATTTATTTATGCATTTTCATTCTTTTGAAGCTACCAAAAAGACGTCGCATATGTTGGGAATTCTTTTGAATTACCTTTATTATATGAATATGTTTAAAACCGATGTTTTTAAAATGGCTAATGATAGATTAGCAGAACGGCAGGAATTGGTGGACAAAATTAAGTATACAATTGAAGATAATCGGAAAAGACAGACCAAGGCAGAAAAGGTAAATAAAAATTCCAAATATAGTCCAATAATAATAGCAATATTTTTAGATGCACGAAGAGCTAACTTTTCTTACCAATCAAATTCCGCTGCATAAGAATCAATTAAAATCGGTTACTTCTGAATTAAGTCGAAGCGAGAGTGAGTCGCAACAAATAAATGTTGCAGTAAAAGACTTAAAAACAAAAATAGATGAACTCAAAGGAAAAATACGAAATCTAAAACGTCTTATTGTTCCTGAAGAAGAAGGACTGGAATTACAAATGTAATTACAGAATTTATAAAAATATAATAGTATAAATAAAATTTATATAATTTACAGACAATTAACTAAAATCCAAGAACAAATAATTGATTACGAAAATCAGACTCGAAATGCCGAAAGTAATCTAAAAACGCATATTTCGGATAACAACAGACTGCAGGAGATACTAAAAATAGTTGAATCTGCTAAGGAGGTCTTGCCGTCAGATTTTGTAGACAGTTTCAACAACTCTGCAAATAATCTTTCACTAGCTGAAACAACGGTTGCAAATTGTGAAAAAGAAAAAGTGCAATTAACACAAACCAACCTTCAACACCAAAAAACTTTAGAGTGCTTGCAGGACAAAATTAAACTTGAACAACATCAATTTGACGAAGAAAAACAAAAACTTCACACGTCAATAATGTCCAAAACTAAGTACGGTGATAGAAAGTTTATTTTTATTTTTATAACGTTTTACCACATATTTTATTACAGGGAATGTGATATTTTAGACGTTCAAACAGAAAAGTTAAAATGTGAGGTAGGTGCGGTAGAAAACTCAATAAATGAGCAGCAGGATATCCAATCATATATTCAGCAGAATATTGGTGTATTAATGGAAAAGTACAAATGAATTAATTCAGTCCAAAATACATAAAATATTATATTTCTTTTTTGTTAAATAAATTTGACACTATCATCGCGATTAAAGGAATATCAAGTCATGATCATACCTTATAAGCGAAAATGAAATTGAGAAATATTATTAATTTTATTTTTTATTATCTCTTTACCATTAAGTTAAAAAATGTAAATGCGGAATTTGCTACTACAGCTATAGTAATTCTTTAGTAGATAATAAATAAAATAGGAAAACAGTAAATCTAAAAAGTGTTATGTAGTTGCATTATCAGTATCATCTTCATTTAAATCTGTATTGTAGACGTATAAATCTCGACGTCGCGTTAACACTATTTCATTTTCTTTGGGGTGTGTGTCCAGTGAATTAACAACTCCTCCATTTTCACCTAATTCGAAAATATTTCAGGTATTATTAATATATAAAGAAATTTAAAAATACCTACTTAATTGAATGCGTTGCAAAATTTTTCCATCAAGCAGGTCCCAAACTACTGCACATCCCTCGCTAGTCCCCGAGACAATGTGAGCATCATTAGCCATAATACCACATTCGATATGGAAATCTTCTGCTTTGTGACCTTTATATTCGGACAAAAGACTACCAGTATCGCAGTCGACAAGACGAACTGTGCTATCTTGACATGCCGCTATAATACATTGTTCGTCACGAGTCAGTTTTAAAAATGTTATCGGCTCCCCAATTTTATCACACACTAATTCCCCTACACGTATATCATATTGACGGACACATCCATCCAAAGACGATGTTATTATTTTGTGTTCATTAGTTTGAACTGTTGTAATGCAATCTCGTGCATCTTTCATAACCTGAACGGGTTCTAGTCGTCGTGTTCGTATATCCCAACAGAAAACGGCATTATCACGTCCACCAGATATTGCAATGGAAGAATCTTCATTAAAACAGACACATCTTACTCCGCCAGCGTGACCTCGCAACCGGCGTACTGGTACACCAGTGGATACATCCCAATAGATTATGCTTTTATCAAGACTTGATGAAACGATGTGACAACTGTCGCAACTGCCTGAGGCATCTGTAACCTCATCTGCGTGTCCACCATACGTTTTAAGTAGTAATCCTGTTTTAGGATTCCACAGTTTGATCTTCTTATCTGATCCGCAACTTAAGCAATATGAACCATCAACTGCAATATCCAAGAAAACATTTTATCGATGAATTTATTATTTGCAGGTTCAACAAACCATTATAGCGTACTGCTCGCACCGAACCCTGCTTGCAATCAATTACTTTGGAACGGTGAAAATCTTTGTAAGTGGAAATCATTTATATTTTGCTGTAAACACAAATAATTTGAAAACAAAAACAAATTGGTGTTACGTACAAAAAATCGATTATACTCGATATTTTGAAAGCATAAAAAAAAAGTTTTATTTATGCCAAAACATTTGAGAATTTCATTGGCCTATTATCAAAAGCTAGCTGAATTTATATCGATTTAAGAAATTTATTTAGAATATTTGAGCTATTTTAAAGAATTTGTATTACCATTATTATGTAGAAAAGCAATTTTTCTACAAATCTGGTAATAGCAATTGAAATGAAAATTGACCACTAACTGTTCCGATAATTATTATCGATTATCCGATTATACACTATAGTCAAATATAAACACAGAATCATAACAAATCATTTATTTATAGCTGGCCGAGCGCTTAAATACTTTTTCAAAGTTAGAAGGATGGTTCTGTGTAGGTTTTTTCTCCAAGGTAGCTGCAGGTTTGGGACTAAATGCAATAATGAACATTTGGACATCAAGTATGAACACAATTCATTAACTTAAAATTGAAATTTCGTTGTATTTATATGTATTATAAATGTGATATATTTCACAATATTTAGGCAACTTGTGAAAACCGATTTAGAAGCTGCAATTAATGGAAAGCAATGGCCAATATCTAGTTTTGGACCCTTCAAAGATAAACCCTGTATACCAAGCTTCATAGAAGATCAATCCTTCGAAGAGATTCGTTGGCTTTGTTATGAAGCCAAGCAAAAGAACTGTGTGGATCAATATGTCCAGCATTTCTCCAAGGAAGTTATGGAAGCAAATAATAAAATGAAAACTATGTTGCAATTATCTCCAGCTATTATTGATATTATTTGCCGTCTTTACGATGCACCTACTGAAGCTAGCCCTAATACTGGATTAACAAAAAGTAATGTTAATAACCCTTTCGGGCTTGGAGGTAATGTTATCAACGATACCACGTCAATATTTAATAAGCCGAGTATGCCATTAAGTGGAAATAGTACTTTTGGTGGAACTTTTGGCAATAATACTACTACTACTGTCGGACAAGCGTCTACACAGGGTGGAAGCTTATTTGGTGGAGGTGGTTTAGCCTTTAATTCTCAAAACCAGCAGTCTTCTATTTTTTCACAGCAGTTACAAAAACCTGCTTCTGTGTTTGGAGGTGGGGGCACACAAGGAAGTTTATTTGGGCAAACACAGACAAATACAGGAATTATTGGTGGGCTTTTCGGACAAACTCCACAACCGACTGGTAATGTGTTTGCTCAAACAGCGCCACAACAGCAACAATCTCAACTTGCTGCCAATGTTGGATTATTTGCCCAACATGCACAACAACCACAATCAGGCTCACTATTTGGACAACAAAATCAAACTCAAACAGCAACTGGAGGGAATTTGTTTAATCAAACTATTCAGCAGCAGCAACAACACAATGGTGCAAATGTATTTGCGCAAGCAATGCAAGCACAGCAAACGCAATCAGCATCCGGATTCCCAATGTATCAGACCAATAAGCCTCAAACATCTTCTGTTTTTGGACAACAAAATGTTTTTGCACAACAGAGCTCAGGAGGAATGTTTGGCCAATTAGCCGCAAATACGCCTGGGAATAATTCTAATAATTTGTTTACGCAACCGGTCAATACAACGGATTCAAACGGAATGTTTAAAAACCCACAAAACATATTCGCCCAAGCTATACAACAACAACCTCCACCAAATATGTATTCACAACCTAACCAAAGCTCAACAACAGCACAACCAACATCAGGGTTTTTCCAACAAAATATTCAATCGCAGCAAAATACAAATCAGCATGCAGCCTTTGCACAGCCGATGGGAGTAAATAACTCTTCGTTGCCTCTCTTACAATCGCCAGTGGTAAGCAGCTCTGTTTATAGCAAATTGGAGGATCTTACAGCAGAAGACATTGAAGCTTTCAAAGCCGACACATTTACGCCGGGTCGAATTCCAAATGTTCCACCTCCTAGAGAGTTGATTAATTAAACTATTCTGCAAAAGTAACGATAACCCGGAGACGGAATGCTACCAAATATAAATATGAATCAAAATTGTGTACGAATACAATGCTTAAACTCTACTCTAGAAAGCCTAACGACTACACGGAAAAAATATTGAAATGGTTTTCACATTTTGGTTAACGACTACAGTTGCTTTTGTTTCTTCTTTGTCTCTATGTGACTGTTATCTGAATATATTAATTAAAAAATAATAATAAACAAAGTAATTCAATGAATTAAATTAAATGTATTTTATTTTTTCTCAATAACGTATTGAAAACTTGTTTACTTTCTGTAACTTGAAATAAATTTTTTTCAGTTGATAAACTTTTAGGCAGTTCTCAAAAACTAAAACTTTGATTTAGTAATTTGAAAAAAAAAAAAAATTAGAAACTAGAAAGTTACTGCATTTCTAAATATTCATCTGCGATAAGCTTATTCCCGCATGATTATTTTCTTTTATAAAGAATTCTACTAAAAAGCCATTTTTCTCATAAACACACTTCTTATGCGTTACATATTTTTACAACTTATTTGCTTGTTTTACACCAGAAGTGTTGATTTTTAAAACCTCAAACGCACAAGCGGCTTTATCCACATTTGAATTACAAGACTCATTTTCACATTCTTTTGATGTTTGTTGTTGCCTCTCGCATTGCGATTTTTCCCAAGCTAACTCGAATGGATAAGCAAGAGGTTTCAGTTCATCTGGACATAGTTCTTGGTAAGGAGCTGTGGCCTCTGCTATCGAGGCACCACGAGTATGAATACGCTCTAACATGGCAGCATTATGAGTCTCGGCGTTTAATGAAGTAATGTATTCAAAAAGTTGTTCTTTCGTATAAATATTTGGCAAACCACGTTTTTCGAAGAACTAGAAAAGAAAACACACGGATATAAATACCAAATACAAATATGCAGGAATATATTTCGACAAAATATACAAGAAAGTATGTATATAAATGTTATACTTACATTTATTATATTGCCACAATCGCGCATTAGAAATTCTAAAGCACTTGGGTGTTTCGGTTCAACTGATTGGGCCACGTCGATAATCCAACATTTGTCATTGTACCAAAGGATATTGTATTCGCTCAGATCGGCATGTATTAACTTTGCTTCGTTATATAATTTGTACATTGTTGCAACAATTTCTTCGTACGCAGAAGATAGTTCCGATTGACTTAAGCGAGCATCCTTAAGTTTTGGAGCGGCATTATGATTATCACCAATGAAAGACATTACCAAAACATGTTTCTTCAAAATGACCACATCTGGACAATTAATACCGACACTTTGCATTCGCATTATATTGTGCATTTCCTTTTCTGCCCACATATTTATAATAACTCGATTATTTTGTTTGCTGAAACGATCCTTAAAACGGTAATCATCCTTGATATATCTATCTCGTTGCTTAAATTCATTTAATGTAGTTTTAAAAATTTTTATAGCGCACTCTTTTGGTAACAATTGCGGGGAGCATATTGTTCCACCACTGGTGTTTTCATTATCTGCATAGGTGGGATCAGAATTTGCATGTAGGATCACTGCTTCTTTGCCTGTCGATATAATACCGTTTATTTGCTCCAATATTTGATTATTAATTAATTTGTAGAGTAACAGGCGAGTAGGTGCGTCGACACCCATTTCAGCTGTTGCCACATTAGCTTTGCGGTCGTGCATTTTATTTTTCTTATTTCCTCGACGAGAGTATGTTTTCAGTTGGTTAAAAACCTACATAATGAAAGAAAGATAAAACATTGATATTGTTAAGAAAAACATAAAGAAAATACACAATACTGATTAAATAAATGTGTATTTACTGATTTGTAAATATGTATATGTACTAAGTTAATTTAAAACGGATGTTAGTATAATCGATTTTCTTACTTGATTGGAAAGTTTCATGTCAAAACCAGCGCCATCCCCCGTTGGAAACTCAGGAGGAAATGACATAACTCGACAAGCATTACGAACTCCGCACAATTGCGGATCATGCTTGGTTATCATTTCACCCTCTTTGTCCAGTTTAAATCCACATTTCGGTATTGCGTCTAATATTTTCTCGTTCGTTTCAAAACGATCCCAATCCCGCTTATATCCACTTGCTTCGTCCTCAATTTCCAAAGAGTCATCGGAATCATTTAAGAATTCTAAATCCCCATTACGACGAAACTTATCCAATGTTACCGTCACCTTACTATCCTTGTTTCGCTTATGCTCAATTCGTCGCAACTCTTCATTATATTCATGATCAAACTGCGATTGGAGCATTTGTGCTATGACAACGTCAGAATCACATTCAACGGTGTCTTCTTGTGAAGCAGCCAATAATGCAGAATAATCTTCCCACTCCCCATCTTGCGATAGTTTTTCTTGATCAATTGGTGATGGTCCATTTGCTACTGTAGAGTAAAGATTAGGTTGAGTATTTATTACCGTAGCTATATTTGCATCAGTGGATTCTTGTTTCGCCTGTTGCAATAAACGTGCTTCAAAACGTTTTTGTTCTTGATTATGCACACGATGTGCATATTCTTCAGACATTATTTCAGCAAAGCTCATTGTTTCCAACGGTTTGGTTGAAGTTATGCCCCATGCATTTTGTTGTGTTTTTTGTGAATCCATTTTATTTATTTGTTTTACTAATAATTTTATGTTCTTACTCTATTACTACAAACTATACCTAGTCGATGTATAAATAAAAATTAAAACGTTTTATAAAAAAATGTTATTGCGTTTTGTGAAATGTATATTTTTAATAAACTACGAAATCTTGTGAAATAAGAGGCCAGAGTTCTCTATCACAAGATTTTCTTCTACAGAGTTGTATTTACGTTTTTGAAAAAAACTTATTTTTTTATTCAATAAATTGTGTTCAGATTAATTAGTAGTTTGTTTAAGGTTTGTGTAACTAACATATTACATATGTTAAAATTTGTATATGTAAATAAAATATGTAATCGGGTTCAGTTATAATAACAATAATATGCAATCGAATAGATAGATAGATTGACTAGAGGTATGCACCGTGGTGGTGGTCCAAGGTGGTCTATTATGCCCCACCCTGAGTCACAACGACTCACCTAGCCCCAACACATTAATGAACTCCAATATACTACTAAGTGCTAGTGACTATCTGGCGGAGGCGCTGGGTGCGGAGGAGCTCACATCGCTCCAAGACTTACTCATGGAGGAGGTATTCAGAGGATCTGGATACAAGGCCTCCTTCCATGGGGTATATTTCAAGGGGGGCATGCTGCAGGTTGACTGCAAGGATGAGAGGTCGGCTTGTTGGCTGAGGGAGATCGCTCCCAAGCTAACAGGCTGGAACGGCCCCATCCTCTGCGCAAAAAAAGGGGGACGAAATTCCGCCCATGCACAGCATGACGGTCTTCCTCCCCAGATGCGCAGGAAAGTCTTACGAGTTTGCTTTAGGACTCATTCGCAATCAGAACGATGGCCTCGATACATCGGCCTGGCGGGTGACCAAGAGCATAGCGGAGGATTCAGGATGGAAGCTCAACCTCTGCATTGATGACGAATCATACAAATTCGTCAGGAGGGTGAGCTTCCGCCTGAATTATAGGTTCAGCTAGGTGGTCCTGAGGCCGTTCAAGCCAAAAACGATCACCGAGGGCGATGCGGGAAAGGAAATGCAGGTGGATGAGGTTGCGACTCAATCCTGCGCAAGTACGTCGAAGCAGGCGGCAACTGCTGAGACAATGGCGAAGGTCCCTTCCATGAAGACGGGCGAACAAGGAGGGGCGCTACCCTCCACTCAGGAGCTTCTGGAGGGGCTCACAAACCTGGCGGGAGACATCGCGGAGGACGGTGAGCATGAGGACCAACTCCTCATGGAGCCGATCCTGTAGTGAGGCCGTGCTTAGAAGTTGCCCAGGTGAACCTGCATCACGCGGCGTCGGCCTCGGCGGTTATCGCGAGCAGGTTCACGATGGATGGACTGGGCATACTGCTGATCCAGGAGCCATGGGTCAATAAAGGAGAGGTCAGGGGCCTCAAAACGGAGTCAAATAAGGTAATCTGGGATCTCTCAAGTGAGAGACCTAGAACCTGCATAGTACTTAGGAACGGTATTGACTTCTTCTGTATTTCAGAGTTCCTAACTCAGGACCTGGTCGCTGTGCAAGCGAGGAACGACGAAGGAGCGGACTAGAACTCTCAGTTCTAAGAAAAACGGTGCGCAAGCTATTCAATAAGGCTAAGCGCACCGGAAACTGGGAGGATTACAGATGCAGCCTAACTGCTTATAATAAGGAGATTAGGACCGCGAAACGGAAGAGCTTTAGGAAGTTCTGTGAGAGCGTCTCCTCAACACCAGAGGCAGCTAGACTGCATAAGGCTCTGGCTAGAGGCAAGACGGACACAGCACTAGCGATTAAACGATCTGATGGGACCTATACGTCCAGCGCAGAAGAAAGAGCTACGGCTCTTCTACTAGCGCATTTCCCGAAACCGATTCAAGAAGACCAGATTCGACCTATGGTCGAACGAAGGCCGTCACGCTTGGACTGGACAGTCGCAAAACAGCTCTTCACTGCAGACTCCATCAAGTGGGCGCTGGCCTCCTTTGAAAAATATAAGTCACCGGGTGCGGATGGTATCCTTCCAGCTTTTCTGCAACAGGGGGAGCAGGTGCTACTGCCCCACCTTGTTCGGCTGATGAGGGATAGCCTAGCGCTGGCGTATATCCCAGAACCATGGCGCACCGCAAAGGTGATCTTCATACCCAAAGTAGGGAGGAAAGACTACTCATTGGCGAAATCGTTCAGGCCAATCAGTCTTACTTCCTTCCTACTCAAAAGTATGGAAAAGATCATAGACCACGAACTACGATCGAAGATGCTGAAGGCTTCACCGCTTCATGAGAAGCAACATGCTTACAGAGCAGGCAGGTCAACAAACACTGCTCTGTACCAGCTAACCTCAGAGATCCAGAATTCGTTAGATGGGGGCGAGGTGATGTTATGCGCCTTCCTCGATATAGAAGGTGCCTTTGACAACACGTCTCACGAGAGCGTGTCAAGAGCACTGGAGAAAAGGAGCGTGGCAGCACCAGTGCGCAGATGGATTACAGCCGTACTGCGCACTAGGGTGGCGGAAAGCGCAGTGGGAGAAACTAAAATTCGTCTGGGAACAACAAGAGGCTGCCCACAGGGTGGAGTGCTATCCCCCCTACTTTGGAGCCTAGTTGTGGACGATCTCCTTGAGCGGCTGACTAGCAATGGAATCCGCTGTCAGGGATATGCGGATGACATTGTTATCTTAGCTAGGGGAAAATTTGAAAACACACTCTGCGATATCGTTCAGAGGGGATTGGGACTGGCAAAGGGATGGTGTAGTGGGGTTGGCTTAAGCATCAACCCCGCTAAAACTACAATCATTCCCTTAACCAGACGGAGGTCACTGCCGGGCCTCAGGAGTATATCCCTGGACGGCAGAGGGGTTGAGATGGCCAGCACGGTCAAGTACCTGGGCCTCACGCTAGATTCCACACTACGATGGAATCAGCATGTGAACCAGACCTTAACCAAAGCTACTAAAGCACTCATGGTGTGCAACCGACTTGCTGGAAAATCCTGGGGGTGCTCCCCAAGGACTATCAGGTGGATGTACACCATGATCGTGAGACCGATTATCACGTATGGAGCGGTATCGTGGGGTTCGAAAGCATCGCAGACTTCGGTAGGACTTAAACTGTCGAAGCTGCAAAGACTTGCCTGCATCTGCGCGTCGGGAGCAATGCGAACGTGTCCGACCGCAGCAGTGGAAGTCATGCTAGAACTTTCTCCGCTACACCTGGTAATCAAACAGACTGCCAAACGAACTCTGCTCCAAATGACAGCAGAGAGAGCTGGCAAAGGGAAGGTAATCTCATCCCAACAGATGAAAGAGCTAAGTGAGGAAATACCACTAGCCCTTCTCCAAGGGATAGCATTACCAAAGTAGTAAACTTCAGCAGAAAGTTTCAAGTAAGCCTTGGCAGCAAATCTGAGTGGAATGACTCTTCACTGGACCGGCTGCTAAGGGGTAGCACCATCAAGTGGTACACCGACGGGTCGAAAACGGAGGAGGGGATTGGTGCAGGGGTCGCTGGGCCAAGCACCAAACTCTCCATTCCCATGGGAAGTTTCCCTAGCATTTTCCAAGCCGAGGTCTATGCTATAAGTCGGTGTGTAGGGATAAACCTCCAACGCAACTATCGCAATAAGAGTATTGCTATACTCAGCGATAGTCAGGCGGCACTAAGAGCGATCTCAGCCTATGAGGTCAGATCTCTCCTAGTGATGGAGTGTATAGAACGGCTGAACAGCCTATCTAAGCAAAACCGAGTACACCTTATTTGGGTGCCTGGCCATAGGGGTATAGCTGGGAACGAACTAGCTGACGAGTTAGCCCGCTCTGCAGCCTCTACAAAAATGGTAGCGCCGGAACCATACATAGCGGTTGGTCCACAAACCATCAAAGAGCTCCTCCGAAGGGAGGAAAGAGCAAGCAGGGAGATACATTGGCAACAACTTCAGGGCATGCACCATGCCAGACTGCTATTGGGGAGTTACGACCTCAAGCGGTTTAAAGCCATAATTAATCTCCCCAGAAACAAATTCCGGCTACTGGCAGCGTTCTACACCGGCCATTGCAGGCTCAAAAAGCACCTCTTTAACATGGGCATAGCCTCTTCTGCAAACTGCCGGTTCTGCGACATAGAGCCGGAAACCCCTGAGCATCTGCTGATGAACTGCACAGCAGTCTGCAGACGCAGAATCAAGGCCCTGGGATCCATGTTTCCACACAGGGATCGTATCGCCTCACTAGCACCCAGCAGAATTTTGGAATTTATCAACATGCTGAGCCTAGATGATACGATATGACTTAGGGGAGGGCACAATAGACCATAGGTCGCGGTGCATACCTCGAAACTAATCTAATCTAATCTAAAGTGCTAGTGAGGCGATGTGATCCCTATTAAGAAACAGGGATCCAAGGTGCACTCGAGTCGAGCCCACAAACCCGTGTTTTTCAAATTGGTATAAACTACAATTACGTGAAATTATTATAAAAAGTTTCACCGTCAATTTTGAAATTATGTAGAATGACATAACAAGGCATAATTCAGAAAAAAATTCGTACCGTTTTGTAACCAGAGAACTTAGAAGAACGAGAAGGTGCAAATTGAATTTTGTATGATGCTCGATTGGACGGCTAACAGAGCTGAAAAATTGAGATCAAGGAGTTCACCATTTTCTGGAATATTTGCTGTTATTTAACAGAAATGAGAATTTATAACAACGTTCTCTGACAAAATACGTATCTCCCAACATAAAGAGAAAAATTAAATAATTTAAACAAAAAAATACAAATCCACTTCATATATGCATGCTTTTTTTTTGCCATATAAACGATTTTTATGATAAAAATTTATAACATATGATCTTTTTTGCACAAATGAGTCATGATAAAATGCGAAAGATTATGCAAAAAAAATATATATTTTACTTTTTTAATAATTTTCTAATTTCAATTGTTACGGAATTAATAATTTATGTAGCTTGCCTACAAGCCGCTTTTCGCGACTATGGCAAAAGCTAGAAATCATAAATTGAACAACTTTTTTATGTTCCCTCTTGAAGGGAAAAGTGACAACCCTGTTATAAAAGCGAGAAATGTTATTTGTTTCTCCTGCGTGTGAGGTGAACTCCTTGATAAAATTTTACAAATGTTCGCTATCGAACCTGCACCTTCTCGTTCTTCTAAGTTCTCTGGTGTAACCTCACATTTTAAGATTTATTATATCCTTTACAGGGTATATTAACACCCAGAAGGAAATGTCGGAGACCCTATAATGTATATAAGTATATATATAAATGATCAGTATAACCAGCTGAGGCAATTTAGCCCTCTCCGTCTGTCTGTATATATGCGAACTAGTCCTTAATTTTTTAAGATATCGATCTGAAATTTTGCACACGTCCTTTTTTCCGCAAGAAGCTGCGCACTTGTAGGAACCGCCAATATTGGACCACTATAGCATATAGCCATAGAAACTCAACGATCAAATACATGTCCTTTTGTGAAAACAGAGAAATAGTTTTATTTTCACCAAGAATGGAAAGGCTTTCTGTTGCAAAAGAAATATAATATTAGCGGCAAATCTTTATACTTTTATTGAAAATAATTTCTGAAAATTAACAATTTTCGATAACAGTATTCATTATATCATCAAATATTTTATACATTTGTAAATTTTCTATACAAATAGTCCAAAAATTCTCCACAATGTAAAATATAAAAAAGTTCGAGTTTAAAAACTCTTTAAATACAGTGTGTATGTATATATGTATTTTATAAATGAATTGTGTATATTTAAATAGCGTACATCATTAGCTTACTCAATAGCATGTGTACATGTCAGTTAAATGCCAACAGTTTTTACTTTATAAATTTTTGTAATAATAGTAACAACAGTAAAAATAGTACTTCATTCATTTTCTTCATCTGGTTTGGTGTTTTTTCTTTTGTTTTAGTTGTAACATGTAATGGAAGAAATTTAGGTTTAATATGTAGTAGAATACCTGCTAATGCTCCAAAGCTTGTCGGGATACATTAATTTAATTTAATAATACTTTATAGTTAGTAAGAAATTAATTACTGATAGATAGTATAAGCGTGTTGCAGATTGAAATGTTTTTAAAAATATTAACTTGAAATAAAATTCGATTCGTGTCATTACTTGCAAAGAGACATAAATAACTATTACATACCGAAACTTGTTTAACAATTATTTGTATTGTTTGTAAGTAAGGCAATCTTTTAGTTGTACTTATGTATTTTTGTTAACATTCGTTATTTAAAATATAGATATATGTAAGGATTAAGTTATTGCGCTACATGGATGCGTTTGTGGTTCAGTGCAGTTTTAGTGAAATTGTGTATTGAGATTTTTGGAAAAATCTTTAAATAAAAACTTAAAATTAAAATGATAGATGCAAAATTAGAATAGTTCATTGATTGCGATACTTCGGAAAGTGCCTTAATTAAATAAACAAGAATAGCTAAAATTAAAATAGAAGATATTGCAATGTAAGACGATACAAAACTTATTTATATAGTTTTAATTATTTCAAATCGCTATATCGCCATGCTGAATTTTGAATTAAATATATTTTTTCGGAGTCAATTTAAATAATGGGGCTTAGAATTGACTTTCTTCGTGTTGGGTTGTCTTTGTTGTAACTGTCTCCGTTTCGCCATTGGTCTTTTCATGTGAAATACTAGTGATAATTGATTTGATAACCACAGAGCTGCTATTAGTTTCAGTTGTATTGCTGTAAATTTATGTATCAAAATTTAAATATAAAAAAACTTGCTATTTTCAATAATTTTAAAAAAAGTTACCATAAAGGCGCCAAATCCATCAGATTTGGTATGTTGAAATCGCTGACATCCTTCATGTTTGCACTGGTCAAAGTTTGATTAGTTTGTGTGCTTAATACAGATAGTCGACCTAAAATTAAACGTTTAGCATTATTATAGTTACAAGCTGATAATGGTGATTTAATATTATTATTTTTTTTTAGTGCACTAGTACATTCTGGCGAAAAACTTACAAAATGTATTCACTTGTTTTATTAAAAATTATCCATTCCATATGTTCGTCTTATTATTATATAAAATGTAGTCATTAACTTAAAATTGGTATACTGCTCTTTATATTTTTAATTACTAAAGGGTGTTTTTGTGGACGCCTAAAAATAGATTAATTTATCAATAGTTAGAATTGCTCTGTATTTTGAGCTAACAGACAGAAAACGGAGTAAATACAGCTTTTAGCTGTTCCACGACTTATAACCACATAAAATGGACAAGGGCACATATTCTTAGTATGAACAGAGAAACAACTCTATATATATACAGTAGCAATAAGACTAGATATATGCAATAACCAAAAACACAAACAAAGAAGCAAACATTATAACTTATGTGTAATAAATGTGATAGAACCCATCTTGTAATGCATATTTATTCCAACCATCACCGGTATGTAAATTAAATGATTGCTTGCTTACCGACAGTTTCTTCAGTTGTGGTGGTACATAGAGTAGTTGTTGTGGCGTTCAAATGATCTCGCACGGAATCAACCGTTATATCGCCCATGGAACTAGTGATTGTCTCGTTGGCACGATTCGGAGAATTACTGTCCGAGTTTGAATTAACACCATTGGTTAGAGTAATGCCTCCTTTTTGTACATCGATGTCGACTTCAAGCGGTTTTGTGCGATCTTTCGCTCCCGGATCTTGTGAATTTCTTGCTGAAGACAAACTCGCTGCCTCAATGTTTTCTTGGTTCTCTTCATTTATACTATTCGCATCGCTAGCTGCAGCGGCGTGCTCATCGGCAACCAACTCTTCCACTTCAATGCCGCCTTTTGGGGTAATGGCTTTTGTGGTTGATAGAGATATGCGTTGCAGTTCCGAGGAGGAAAGCATGTATAATGCCTCGCCGCCATTCGTAAAACAAAGCGATGATATACCACTAGAATTGAAATTATAGATTTGTATATTATGACTAATTAATTGTTAATATAATTAAACTACACTTACTTAATATCCTCGCGTCTGACAGCCGCAGCATTTAGTTGTCGCTTTAGCTCCGGTATCGAAAGTACCATTATATCGCCCATATTCGTTAGACAGAGCAGCGCCATTTCGTGATATAAACGAGCATCGTTGGCACTACCTCCCGTAGTGTTCGCGCTGGTGTTGGCTAAATCTTGTGTATTCTCTTGTGATCGCGTTGAAGTCGATTTGGACGGGCTACCACCAACACCTTGGGCCAATAAATCAGCTGGCAAGCGGCAGGAAAACGATGCGAAATGTATACGTCGGACACGTGCACCCTCATTCGCGGTTAGCTTATACTTATTGATTGGTTTCAATTGTGGCAGTGAGAACACTTTAAATTGCTCTTCAGATGCGATTAATAAACGATGTGGTGGTGAAACGGCACTACTGTTGCTATGCTGATCAACTGGATAGCCATGCTGGTCGAATATGGCAATACCGACGACAGGTGCACGGTGTTTTAGTTGGATTTCTTTCGCCAGTTGAGCCGACACTCGTCGTGGCTGTGTAGCTGCTGTTGTTGCCGCTGCGTTACCGCTAACTGGTGGTATATTGGTAGCAGCAGTTAGAGCAGGTGGCAAATGTAACAGGAAAACTGATACTGTGCTCGAGTTTGTGGCTGACCACAATGTGGGCGAAGTTATATTCACTGTAATGGTTGAAATTTATTATTATCAATTTTCAAACATATGGTAATTGTAATTATTTCATTACCATTAGTTATAAAAGTTTTAGCGAATTGTAAGCATCGAACCATAGAGCCCATGCCATCGTCGGTGGACCGCGCTTCAACTTGTCGTTCAATCGGGCGTGCTTCCAACTTTAGAAAATAAGTGTATACGTGTGTTGGTTATTTGTCATGTGATATGTTCTATTATTACAATGTACTTACAGTTGTAGGCACTTGTGATGGATTGTTTCGCGTAGAACGGCCCTTACGCAATTTACGAAAAGATTCACGTAACGACTTTTTAAATGACTTACGTCGGGACAATTGCTCCCCTGCACCTGTCAAATCTATATATTATATTTAATTGGTTAGCGTGAAAGTTTATTATATATAATCTAAATTGTCTTTATACCATTTGGATTGAGAGTGCAACGGTGGAAAACTGGCATAAAGGTGTTATAGTCAAATAAAACTAAACCATGTGCAGTGCCTCCAGCCACTAAACCCCAATTCGCTTCCAGAGCCAAGCAGGTTATACTTGCCGGGGGAAGAACTTGTAACACGCCCGTTATTTCAACACCAGCGTCACCAATAGGATCAGCATCAGGCTCAAGTAGATTTGGTCGTACCGTCAGTTGATCATGTCCTTTCCAGACGAATCCATCACGATCGCTTACCAAATTCATAGAACTCGCTTTTAGCGCAGCGCTTTCAGATTCGCTGTTGTCAAAGTTGGCAATCACGATTTGACCAGCAGTTCCACCAACAATAAGACGACCAATTTTGGGACACAAAGCTATTTTTTTAACAGCTAAACGTGGATCGTCAGAGTAGGGGTCGAAAAGGCCAGATTTTCGGAATGGTGGCTCTGACTCATCCAAAGGTTCCGATGTTTCCGCCGGTATATCATCCTGATTCTCATGTCTTTAAATAAAATATATTTCTTTTATCACAACAAATTAGAAATAATTTAAAAAAATTACCCAAACAATGGTGCGGTTTTAAAATTGTAAAGCGGTTTTAGGACAACACCAGTACAATCCCAAAATTTCACTGAACCGTCTTCATGCCCAGTCAATAGTATTTCATACATACGTGCATCTTCATTGTCAACATCGTCAGGCACGTCTTCTTCTAAGATACCGCCATTAATTGGCCATTCTAAGTGGCTGCAATTAGCATCTTGTTCTTCTCCTGCATGCACGATTTTATTATAGACATCCTGAGTAACCTGAGATGCCAGGTAATTGCACGTAACAGCGGATGCATGCACTGAATGTAGATATGGTGCTTTAAGAACAGGAACTTTACTATCAGTTAAATCATAAGCACAAAACTCTTCTTCTAGCAGTACGACCAGAACTTCGACATTGTCGGTATGATTTTGGAATGTAACAAAAAAATCTATAACTTTTGATGTGAAGTCCAAGCACACTTTATTGCCGTCAGTTGCATGTACTGACACACAGTTATGATCTCCATAAGCTGAGCGAGGCATGCCACCAGAGAATACGACAACTTCAGCAAAACTGCGTAAATAAGTAATTTTGTTTACATATATTGTTTAGCGTATAAGTTAGAATAAGCTTACCCACGCTTGCCCTTATACAGACGATTTATGCTTTTACATGGATCCGGTCCATACGGAACGTAATTGACGTTCTTCGGTGCTTCGGCGTTAGTCAAGCTCCAAGATGCGTAAGAACCATCAGCATGATACCAAGTAAACTGAGTTCCAGTTGCATTTACAAACAGACCCACACTCTGACCATGGCCGGGTGCAATGTATGCCCGCATTACTGCGGAAGTTTCTAGATCCCATAATACACAAAGTCCACGATTATACGCAATAAGCAGTTTATTATGCGCATTTGGCAGTTGGCGTATAGATTCAATAGCACCTGGATTTAACTTGTATGTTGGGGGCACTTGCTCTAGGACAATATCGTGATATATAACCGGCTCACGTATTGAGAACGAATTTAGATCGAATTGATAGATATTGCCACCTTCGGTACCAATCCAAACAATGTCTTTGTTCAACGAACAGCAAAGCGATGAGACTTTCTTTAATTTGCCGTCAAAAGGCAATGTCTTGATGGCAACCAATGTTGCACCGACCGGTTCCCACAAAATCAAATGGTTTGAAGCTGTCAACGACAACACACGTCCTGTGCCGTAGACCCATTCCAAAAGCTGGACATTGAGTTCGGCGGCTGAGTTGCTGATAAGCGTGTGTTGTCCATAAAATTCTACACCAGGTTGGCCAAATACTTTGAGAGCTCCCGTTTGGGTTCCAATGGCCATTAGTTTAGATATCGGGTCATAGGCCACTGCGGATGGTTTATGTGGAAATCCATGTTGTGCAGTCTAGAAAAATATGTAGAATAATTTGTTAATATTTTCTTAATCAAAGTTGTGCAGTAAAACAAAATTTTTTCTGTTCTACTGTAGAGAAATCTACGCAATAATTTTTTTTATTCCACCTCAGTGGATTAGCAATATTGTGGGCAATAAACATATGGACATATATGCTTTAATTTATAGAAGTATTATTATAGGAGTACATACTCCGAATTTATATAGTTGATTGATTTATAAACTATTTCTTGGTAAACCTTAGGTTTAAATACCGTTACAAAATACGAAATTATAGCAAAAAATTATTTCCAGTGGCAGGCTTCTGGTCTCATAACAGCTCATTATTAAATCTAGAAAATTTAAGCAGGTTAGCAGTTAGTTATTATATGAGGAACTTATTTAAGTGAAATTCATTCTCTTCAATGTATATTATACATACAACTGTAGCTTTAATTGTTTGAAATTTTTTCTGTGCACCTCAGCGTTTCAACTGCTCTGCTTTGCAACGATGTCGAAATATTACTTTAATTGGTTATTTTTTTTTAATTTGCTTTACGGCCAAGCCGCTATGGCAAACTGTATACATGCAAAATGACACTTGATAACGAGGTGTACGGGCAACTTGGAGCAACTTAAAAGCACAAGAACTAAGATTATTAGCATTGGCTTAAGTGAGCAGTAATTATAAACAACGGATGTTCTTTATTTTAGTTTTTTGCACATATACACACTAGATACAAAAACTTTCTTTGACATACAAAAAAATAGATTTCATTAATTTGGCTAGGCTAGTGAGAATACAACTATATTCAAATAATGTTGGCTTGTACATACGAAATATTCGTATACATTGAAAATTGTATTTGAAATACGTATAAAATTTAAATTAACATTTTTTAAATGTTATTGTTTTTCACATATATGTTAGATATTATTATTAGGATATAAAGTGTAGTAGCTGTTACCACAATTCTACACTAACTTTTACAGAAAATAAAGGCTTTAGGATTTGTACAATTTTCTTATTCAATGCCATGAATAGTATACGCCGATATGGATATCCAGAGAGGGGGGAGATCAAGGAAAATTCCTCCTAGGCTGCTGTTCTGAAGGCAACAATTTTTTTCTCTAACAAAACTACTATCACACCTGGCACCCGGTTTTCTTCTTACGGCCCTGTAGATATCTATACGTTTCATACTTAAGTATGTCCGAGTATGTATGTACATACTATGTAAAAGTACTTTTGGATAGCAAACATTTTTATTATCAGTTTATCAATTTCATCTAGTTAAAATGTTCTTGTATTTATGTCTGTTATTAAAATTAAAATTTGAATTTGTTTATAATGCTCCGCAATGTAAAACAACGGTACCTGTCGAGCTGCGCAGCCGCTTTCATGTGTGTCTTGCTTTTTAAAACCGTCCGTATAGAATAACATCACGAAACTGAGAGATTCAAAGTATAATACTACTCTTCTAAGCCAAAAGAGGAATATCTGTTTTTCTTGTTTGTTTTTAACATTATTTTCTTTTGGCTTTTACTCGTTTTGGCCAAAGCTTAAGAGATTGGTGTAAATGAAGTAAACTTAGAAGTTTAGCTTTGGTCAAACTTTTTTCCCCGTTAGGTTTGAGGTGTAGATTATAAGAAATAAGATATATGTTGTTGTAGTCTGCAATTGCATATCTTTATACTTTACATTTACAAAAGCAATACAAGTATTATTTACATTTTTGAGCATTTCACTTTCATCACGTAAATGCTACATACAAATCGGCATTCAATGTATATTTTGCTTTAGTAAGATAACCAATATAAATAACAAGAGTAAAACAATAACAAAATCTTTCTATTTTTTTTTTACTTATAAATAATTAACAATTTGCCATGCAAACAAAAATGATAATAGCATTGCAACGCTCTCCAAATTTCTATTTAAATACTGCTTATCTCATTTATGTATATACATACATACATATGTATACATACTGTGATTATATACATACATATATGTATAGGATTAACCTTATTGTTAAGCTTAAACCTTTGATAGATAGATAGATTTTGATAGCTAAGCCCTCGAATTTGTGTTGTGCTTATTGATATTATAGGACAGACGGAGATTACTGCAGATTTTAAGCTACCTATGAATTGATAAAGAATATTAAGACACTTCTTTTATGGAAAGAAATAGTTTTATTCCAGCTGCAGCTTCTGTAGAGTATTATGCACATTTACCGGGTACAGTAAAAACATTGATAATTATTCGTAATGAATATTTTGTGAAATTTGGTTTTCTGATTCAATAAAAACTGTCTTATACTTTCTGAACATACATATGTAAATATTTCTCAATTAGTCAAGTGGGACTTACAATTAAACCGTTGAAGATGCTTGAAAATCTGTCTTATTATTATCTATAAAAAACAACACAATACTTATAAAATATTTCAAATAAAATACCGTTAATAATAACTTTTTGAGATAATTCATAGACTTTTCATCTTTTCAGATATCACGTAAAACCACATTGTTGTTGTACCAGAATGAAAAAGTTTTCAAATGTACCACTGAGTGGAGACAGTCGCTGTACGGATATATTGTAATTGCGATTACTTACGTCATTATTACGTAGAAATGCCGAGTGAGATATTTTAATATTTAATATTTTATGTGAAACGAAATTTAGGCAGGAATTTTAGTCCGCTACTATAAATAATTCGTTTAACGCAAAAAATAAAAATAAAATTAATGTATGCATAAGTACATACATGCAAATTTGTACTTACTGTCGCTTTAGTCGAAAGAATTTCAGTTAAATTTCTGAAATTCTCTACATGATCGTTCATGACACATGCCAATAATTACCGAAGGTGCAGTTTTAAGTGTTTTGGTGTTCTTGTGTTTGCTTGCGTTTTCGATTTTACATTTAAACGATGGCTAATAATTGTGAAGTTCATGAAATAAACATTTATACTGGAATTTTTTTATACCCTGTACAAGGTATATTAAGTTTTCCACGAAGTTTGTGACACTCAGAAGGAAACGTCGAAGACCCTATAAAATATTATATATACATAAATGATCAGCATGAAGAGCTGAGTTGATTTAGCCATGTCCGTCCGTCTATATATATACAAACGAGTCCCTCAGTTTTTAAGCTATCGACCTGGATTTTTGCTTTCTTGTCGGAACGGCCGATATGATCCACTATAGCATATAGCTGCCATACAAACTAAACAATCGGAATCAAGTCTTTGTATAGAAAACTCTTTCCTTTGACGAGGTATCTTTACGAAATTTGGCATGGATTATTATTTTAGGCAATAATGCAATCTCTGAAGAAATTGTTTACATCAGATCACTATAGCATATAGCTGCCATATTATCCAAACGATCGGAGTAAAGTGCTTGCATGGAAAACTTTTTCATGTGACGAAGTTTCTTCACAAAATTAGGCATGAGTTATTGCCTAAGCTAGCAATGTAATCTCCGAAAAAATTGTTTAGATCAGATCACTATGGCATAAAGCTGATACACTCCCCCTTGGCTAATTCCATACAGCGCCTGTTTGCCATCATAATTTTTTCAAACTCTTTTAAAAAACGTTCAGCCCATCTATGGCTCATAAGCATTGATTTTCTTGTGTATTCTTTACTGACATGGAATGGAATGCTTATGTGGGAATGCTGTCATACAAATTGAAGGATCGGAATAAAGTTATTGTAAGGAATCTTTGTATTTGTGAAGGGTATTATAGCTTTGGTGCAACCGAAGTTAACGCGATATCTTGTTTTTTTATCAGTTAACATATTTTTAACTTTTTAACAAAACTGCATTATGGCATGTAACGCACGAGTTTAAAAATAGAATTAGAATGTCTGCAAATGAAATGAAATAATACGCAATAATAAAAGTTCATCTTCTTCTGGATTCGCACCAATTAGAAATACCAAGTCAATCGCTTCGCAACATATTCGCAGTCAAGTTTGAAAATTTTTATGGGAACAAATAATTTTAATATTTTCAAACTAACTTTTCTACTGATCATAGCACATACATATCTACATATATTCTTTTTTATAATTCGTAATTCTTTAAATTGTTAAGGTAATTCCCGCTTGAATTACTAATAACCTCCTAATTATTTCAAGGATGTTTTCATCCGCTACAACAGCAACAACATTTATAAGCTCATATACATGATATACATATGCATTGTATATATGTACTTACATGTTTTATCAGACATATGTATATATAAAGTCTAAACAATGCCAGCACTGTTGTGTTGAAATGTTTGTTTGCGCCAAGAAGTTACAACAGGTGCATATCAATTTTTAAATTGTTTTAGTTTGAACATCATATCTTATCTTTTAGTAGAACGCTTATCAGGCGGTGTGCCGCTTACTCACCGATGGTCGTTTATAAAAGCGAATATTTACCTAAATTTTTATAAAGAGTCGTAATCAGGGCCGCACCTGAACGAATATGGTTACATGTGTACATGAATGTATGAAAGAATGCAGATCCGTTTATATAGTACTTTTGAAGTAACCCAAACGGAATTTCCAAAAATATATTTACATATATAAAAGAAATAATATAATATAATAATAATAATAAGATAATAAGAAAGATTGCCGCTTCAAGACAATCGCGTTAAAAAATTGCTATTTCGCATTACCTGAGAAAAATGTGAAGGGCAGCAAAACATTCAGCACAAACTCTTTTATTTTATTCTGTTTATTATGAACGGATGCATATGTACTGTTAGTTCAACTTTTTCGATAGAATAAAGGTGTGCCATCGTTGGATTTTATAATGCAAACAATAAATAAACTGGAAATGGAGCATTCACACGCAAAAGGTGTAAATTTTATAGATAACTATATTTTAGTACGACAATAATAACATAAACCCTTTAATCCATTCCATTTACAGCAGCGAGGTCAGCTGTATATCAGATTTAAATTAATATACCGGCAATATTTAGCCATTTTGAAATAACTTTGCGAAAATGTCAAGACAGCCGGTTGAAATTACAGCAACACCCACATTGTCTCAATGCAAAATCATGACGTGGATTAAGAAACATACTTTATACAAAAGAAAAAACTTAATTCCAAAACAAGGAAATGGCTGTAAGCTAGCAAAGAAGTGGCTAAACGGGTTATGTTGGGTGATGACGACTACGCGCTTTGCGTATCTATTACAAATGGCAACCATCTATCAAACTATCTAAAAGCCAATACCTGCATAGGCACGTACATATATACATATATTTATACATTTTTGTGTATATGTACTCGTATGTATGTAATGAAGTTAAAGCGACCACAGTTGTACTGATTGCATACACTGTAAAAAGTTATTGATATTAATAATAATAAAAAATTTCCTACGCAATGTTTATTATGAAGCAATAGGAAATCAAAAACAAAACAAGTGAAAACTTCCAAGGTAAATGGAAATAAGATTTTCGTTACCCCAAATTTCTAGCATAACCTCAGCGAATCCATTAACTATTGTTCATAAACTTAGTCATTGTTTAACTTGTATTTTTACTGCAAACTGTGTTATCTTGCAAAGTGTCGCATTCTAAAGAATTTAGATAAATATTAGCCTTGTTTACCTATACATAGCAGTTACGGTTGTCATAAAAATGTTCGATAGCGTAATTAATATATATACATATTTATGTAGAGGTACTTTCAAGTCTTTCTATCGGAATTAGTAAAAAAAATGTGTAATTTTTAAATTGAATTATGAAATATTCTCTAAAATTGAATTCATTGTCGGATTATCTAATACCAATTGGTTGTCTTTATAAATTTGGGCATAATATTAGGCATAAAATACATTTTTATTTATAAGTATGAAAATTTATATTATATTGCATTATTTACACATTTAAACAATAGATAAAATTTGTGCATATAAAACGACAATTTATCTATCCGTTCCCACGACAGTCGGGTCTACGTAACCGGAACGGACCCGGATTTATTCCGGCCAAGGACTGTCAACTCGGCAGAATTCTGTCGCTACAACAACAACAACAATTTATCTATATATGTAAAGTTGAAAAAAAAAAAATAAATAAATATATAATAACCTATTGTTAAAAATGTCATTAAAATATTTCGAAAATTTTGTATTTAATTAAGAGGTTTTTATTATACCTTTTTCATTTGAATTCTCTTATTTTTGTTTCTGATTGCTTAATTATTGTTAAGTTTTCAGTGTATATTTTGGGACTCACCTTTCTGTATGAGAAAAGTTCTTTCTGCAATCGTTGTCTTTCTGCTGTTGGCTGCTGGCCTTTTCCACGTATAAATTTTAACATCTTGAATCTAATAGAATGATATGTATGATGTTATGACTTTGAAGTGATTGTCTTAAAACAAGGAAAGCTGAAACAAAATAATTTTTCTTATTATAAAATGAATTTATATAATTATTATCCCATAACAGTAACATTTGTGTAAATGCTGGGAGTGTGCGTTAGTCGCAGTATATACGTATGCATATATAATAAGCGCTCAACAAGTGGATATTTGCATCTTCATAGCACTATCTCTAATTTTTGCACGTTTATAGTCCATTGGCCCCCTAATTAGTTCAATTTATGGATGTACAAATATTATAAACATTCTTATTGTATGCGTTGATCCACAATAACAAAAATCGGAAAGTACGTCGAAAGAAAACATATAGAGCAAACAAGTCAACAATGCGTAACGCCATGAAATGGAACAAATAGCATAAATATCGCGGATATATCTTTCCAACCAAGCATTAGAACGCCAACGAAGCGCTGCGCGAGTAAATGCCTAAAATGCAAGAGCAACGAAGCCATTCTTGAACAGAAGGGAA